ATAAATCTCTAATCGGGTATTCACTTCTCAAATTTCTATCTCCCTGCTCTAATGATAACGATATGTACTAACGATCGCATTAACCCTCCTCCGTTTCCAACGAACTCATCTAATAATTACAAAATACAACAATGGAATGTGAGAAGTATTCGATCACGTTCTTAAGACCTCGCCTCGGTTCTCTACTCGGGAGAATGCTCGTTTGCGCTTTTATCCGAAACCTGGCTTCGACCAGGTCAAAAGTTTTCTTTACCACACTTCAATTTCGTACGATCAGATCGGTTCGACGGCTATGGTGGCGTCGCTATTGCTGCCCACCAATCCATCCATATCAAAACGCTTCCAATTRATAATCTTCTTAAGAATAATTTACTTTGCCAATCTATAGATTTAGTCGGTATTGAGGCATTCATTAATTCCAATAACTCCSTGTTTTTATGRTCCCTATATATTCCTCCTTYTTCCAACCCTTCTACGGCTTTACTCAATAGCATCTTTCAGCTTATTGGCACTAACTCCATTTTAGGTGGTGATGTTAACGGCCATCATCCGACCTGGGACAATAATAATAACCTAAACCATCGCGGCGACATTATTTATACCCTAACCTCTTTTAGCAACTTAAATTTAATAAGCCTTTATTCTGGGGCTGCCACACGCGTCAATCGCTGCCCTTTCGCCAATACCGCAGTCAACATAACCATCACTACCAATACCCTATACTGGTCACTTTCCTGGAACCCTCTCTACGAGCCCCATGGCAGCGACCACTTTCCACTGATAATCGAACATCATGCTCCTTCAACACTTCCTTTAGCTGTTTGTAATCACGATACCACACCTCCAAAACTCAAGTACTCCAAGCCTGATTGGTCACTATTTTACTCACATCTTGACTCACTTATTAATCCTTTTGTCTTCTCGAACTCCCCACTAGATAATTATGATAACTTTGTTCACATTTTGAATACCTCTGCGAACATTGCTATCCCAACTAAACGTATTTCCTCAAAATACCCAACAACCTCCCCCATCTGGTGGAAATCCACATGTTCTGAAGCTGTAAAACAATGAACAGCTGCTATTAAAAAGTAAGAACTTCAGGTTCATCACGTGACTTTCTTTCCCACCAAAATGTTAGCGTAAAGACTAAACGTTCTCTTAAATTAGCAAAAAAAATCTGCTGCGAAAATTTCTGTTCTACCCTCAACCACTCAACTCCAATACAATACTTATAGACCACCGCTAAAAAATTCAAAATATGTGTTCACCGGACCAATTCCTCCCACAATGAGGAATGGTTTTCAACTTTTTGCGACAAAGTTGCTCCTCCGTACGTTCCCTCCTTACAGGAATCTTGCTCAGCTTCCGTTTCAACCATTAGCAACATCAATCATGGTTCTCAATGTTCACATATGCTATCCGCACCTTTCAGCTCTAAAGAACTCTCTTCAGCCATTTCTTCCCGGTCCTCAATAGCTTCGGGTATAGATGGTATCTCTGTAATCTTACTCCAAAACATCTCCAACAAAGCATCCGATTATCTATTATGTATTATTAACGACATATGGATCTCAGGCCTAATCCCACACTCTTGGAAACAATATAATGTCATACCCATCCCTAAACCCAATATTTCTCCCACTGCATTTCAACCAATCGCCTTATCCTCCGCTTTATGTAAAACTGTTGACTACATAATTAAAATTCGTTTGGACTGGTTTTTAGAAAAAAATAACCTCATCACAAACAATTTATTTGGTTTCCGGCGCGGCATGGGAAACATGGAGTGCTTGTCATCACTTTTTGGCCCAGATTATAAAGCATTCTGTAATAAAGAATACTTATGTGCTGCTTTTGTAAATATTAAAAGGCGCCTTCGATTCCGTACACATTCCGACCCTCATCTCTTGCCTTGCTTCTCTACAAATCCCTTATTCTGTTTGCAATTTTATTTCCTCACTTTTTTTCCAACGATTTCTCAAATTTTCCCCGCCTTTGGGGACATACAGAGACCTTTCTCAAGGTAGCTACCTCAGTTCTTTACTTTTTAACATATATATGTCACCAATCTGCCTATCTTTAGACTCGCCGGACTTCCGGGTCCTATTATACAATAGGATATTGTGCTGATGACATTGTGCTATTTTCCTCAAATAAACCTCTCGAATTATCCACCTTTACTTTAAACAATGCTTTAAAACATCTTTCCATCTCCTTAAATACAGCATTCTTTACCATTGCTCCTGAGAAAAGCCACTTTATGATTTTTACTCGTAGACAAATTTTAGCACATCCTAATATGATCCTCAATAATCAAGTTATTCATCCATCGTCAACCGTCACCTACCTAGGCCTCAAACTCGATCCTAAACTTAGATAGGTTCCCCACTTCCAATATTTAAAACGCATATTCTCTCGATGGTCTAACTTTCTCCGTGTCACAGTGGTGACTCACTGGGGATCGCACCCTTCATGCCTCCTTACAATTTTTAACGCGGTAATCAGGTCCAAAGCTGATTACAGTTCGCTTCTTTATTCATCCGCTTCTCTCTCACAAAGGAAAAAGTTTAACTCCATTCTGTTATCATGCCTCCGTACCACAGTTGGTGCCCTAAGTTCTCCTTTAGCAAGTCTAGAGGTGGAATGCGCCTGCCCTCCTATCGAACTTAGAAGTCAACGCCTGGTAGGTAAATTTTTACTCAAAACTTTATCTTCTTCTAACCAGTAGCTTTTCCAAATGTTTGTTTCCATTAAGTCTTCCTGGTCTTACGTGGCTAAAAAACTCCCTATCGTTGCTGCTGTAGTCTTCTCATTCTCTGATTTTTCACYATTTATTTATCACCCCAGCCTCCGGCTACAAATTTATTATACGCCTTACGCTGCACTCTCGTTTTTTCCTGCAGTAACTGTTTCTCCCAATTTCCTTGGCTATTCCCCAAAAGAACTACCGCGTCTGCCTCAAACTCTGGCTGTCTATTTTCTTTTTTGATACATAATTATTTTATAATTGCATTGCCGTAATTATTTTTTAATAAAAGGCAAATTAAAAAAAAAAAACTTTTATTGATATAAAATAAAACCTATACAAACAGAAGCAAGCTCTGTTAATTTGTTTGTGGAAAATTCTATAACGGTACCTTTTTACTAATTATGTCATAAGCACAATAACATCTGTGGCAGGCAAAATGTTTGGAATTAAGCAATAGTTATATAATAATTAGTATATCATTACAGTATATTGATACTAAAAAATTATAAATAATATTTCATTTTGATGTTAATAAAAATGCAAGTAGATATTTAATTTAATTTAAAAATAAAAATTGTTTCATACAACTTTAACAATTGTATGTATATTTATGAATTCAGTTGTTCATTGAGATTGAATGTAGAATTCATAGGGCTCTGAAAACCATCACTGAATTATCTAAATATAACAGGTTCCCTAACCCCGTTACACTACTAAATCTAAATGAACGTTCCACTCATCACGAACACGATATATTATCGGTTACTATATTTCGGCTGTTTTTTCATTTTGTGTTAAATCTAGCTTCACCGTATCTTCATTCCATTTCCACATAAAATGTCTTATATATGTATTAAATGTTAAGGCTTGTGTCCATAACTGATTTAATGATTTTCTTGAATTAATCTATTATGTTTTATTAAATAAACATGTAGTTAAAATCAAATCCAATTACTAATTATAAATAACAATGCGTAGTACTATTAAGATTTAGATACCTACCTATATTACTATATTATATTATATAATTATTACTAAATCTGTTTCATATACAGTCGGTTGAATACATAAGTATGATAATCTCGTTTTTCGAAGTAGAGAAAAAATATTTTATACTGTTAGATTATATTTTCTATAGCTATAGTGCGATCAATTTAATAAGATGGCTTTTGTCAAAATTTATAATACAATAGGTACATATCCTTTAAATAATACGTATTTTATAAGCCATTTTGTAGTATAATTGTATTTATTTAGTTTGTGATTTAAACTTAAAAAAATAAGTTTGATGTAAATTTCCCCATGAACAACAGACCTTTATTTTATTATTTAAATTCAATCATTATTAAGACAATTTTTGAATTTTATTTACTATAAATGAATTATGATTTCATCGCTTCACAGAATGAACAGTTGATACACCTCTGGAATTTTCGAAAAATAATTTAATTTTCCACTTTAGCGGCTGCGCCAATTTTTTTTTTTTTTTTTTTTGTTATGTTTGTAATTTTCGGAACAAGGTATGAATAAAATACCCCACTATATGGGTAATGCCGGTCATTTGTAAAAAAAAAATAATATTATACTTAACTTTAAAAATTTGGAACTTATACATGTAGTAGATAACAACTTTATAGTTCTAATGTTAGCAATAGTAAAATATTTGGTTCATTATTACCGGAGATACATGAACTCCCGCTTAGGTGGMCGCCATTCCCCCATCTTCCCCTAATAATTATTATTATTTACTATTAAGCGTGTAATGCGCTATATACTGTAAGGTTACAAATAAAAAATAACACTGTTCAACTACTTTTGTTCAATGTTTTGTTCTTGGGTGTTTACTTACTGGTATACAGGTGTAACAGAAAGACTTGAAAAAAAATAATGCTACTTAAACCGTATGATAAAAATTGTAAAAATTATATGGTTAATAAATAATTTGAGAAATATAAAAAATATATATATACGAGTATTTATAGTAAAAATAAAAAAAAAGTTTTAAATATTGATTAGAACAGAAGTTATTTCATCTGTCAGGTCTTCCTATTACACCCTGTATAATAATGTCTAAAACTATAGACCAACAGTTCCAAAACTTTGAGGTGGGCCTCCCTTAGGAGTATGAGTTTGTAATGTTTTGCATGCAATGTATTATGTAAAACAATGAGTTGAATATATAATATATATGAATTTTCTAATTTTATTTAAATTTATTTATTCGATATAGACAATATACTCTATCAAAATGAGGACCAAATCCAAAATTTGGAATTACTTTGAAAAGTATCCATCTGAAGGCCTTTGCATTGAATGTGGCGAAAAAAAAATAGTGAAGGTGGAAATACTAGCAATTTAAAATCGCATTTGCGTTATAAGCATCCAAATTTATACTTGGAATACATAAAATTATATACATTGATGGGTAAGTGCTATTTTTGTTTTTAAAAATGATATTATATGTAAGGTGTTAAATAAATTTCAATTTTATAATAAGTAATTAATACTTTGATTTTAAAGAAATAGTACTATAACATCAACAGCTGATACTGAAGAAGTTTTGGATGAATGTGTTGATGGTCCTTTGAGTTTGAGTAATATAAATTGTGATAAACCAAATAATAAAGGTAGATTATAATATTATAATGTTACTACTTATAAGTTATCAGCTGGAATAGAGGTGTCTATTTAATTATTAATGATTCTTCATTTTCAATATATTATTTATAAAAGATTTCAATATTTTCAGTGTTGGGGAGTAACTATTAACTTAAGTTACAAGTTAGGTATTATAACGAAATTAGTGATTGTAATTTTGAATAGGTATGCAATTTTGTTTAAAATAAATTTGAAAAATAAAGATTAATATTTAAAATGTAGCAAAATGAGTATTTATTATAATTTCATATTGTTGGCTGACATTATTTAATATTTAATTTATGTATTATTGTCGTATTGAACACATGGTTATTATAGTTATTAAGCTTCAGTGATATTTTTGAAAAAAAGTAACTTTTATTGTAATTGAATTACTTTTTAAACTCAAAAGAAATGTAACTTGACCAATTTAAAAAAAAAGTAACTTAAAAATAATTTAGTTAAAATTTTGATAAGGAATTAGTAATGCAATTTAATTACCAAAAAACCGTAACTTCCTCAACAATCGATATTTTACAGTATTATTAATAGGTCATTAATCAATAATTTTTAACTTTGCAGAAACTAAGTTAAAAAGAAAAATTGGAACTTTGAAACAAAGCAAATTAAAAGTGATTTCTCCTTTAGACAAGAAAACAGTTGAAAAATATAAACATGCTATAGGTATTTGGATGTTCACTGATATGGAGCCTTATAATTCAGTGGAAAGAAAAGGATTCAAACATTTACTATCAGTCTTATGTCCAAACTTTGAATTACCCAGCAGGAAATACTTTTCTGACCATAAGATTCCTCAAATGTATGAAATTGTAAGAAACTGTTTAAAGGAAAAATTAAAACAAGTATCAAACATTTCACTGACAACTGATTACTGGACATCTGTAAATGGATATCCGTTCATAGGATTAGCGGCTCATACTATTAATAATTATTGGAAAATTGAAAGTTTTTGTTTGGCGTGTACTTCTTTGAATGTTGACCATAACAATGTAAACATTAAAAATAAGATAAAAGAAATTTTGATTGACTGGGAAATTGATGAATCTAAAATTGCCGGAATAACAACAGATTGTGGAAGTAACATTTTGAAAGCTGTGGAAAGTTTATCATTTAACCATGTACCTTGTTTTGGACATGTCTTAAATACTGGGGTAACCAATGCATTTGCATTACCACCTGTTAAGTTATGCAGTGAAAGTGAGATCAATTTTTCGTTACAGTCCCAAAATGAAACGTTCTTTGTTAAATGCTCTGGATTAATCTAAGTCTTCCACCTTTAGTAGTTCCATCTTCATGTGAAACTCGTTGGTGGTCTTTACTTCCTTGTTTAAACTTTATAAAAACACAACATGAAGCATTGCGTACAATACTAACCACTCCTAAACACCAAAAGATTTTACTTACCTTTAACCATTTACAATTAATTGAACGTTTGTTATATATTTTGAATTCATTAAAACAACTGGGGGAAGCTATGGCTTCAGAAAAAAATGTAACAATATCTTCATTATGGTCCATGCATCGACAGTTAAAATTACAATTTTATAAACAGAAAAATGTAAGTCATTCACATAATGTGTCTATTAATGAAGCAGCTGAAAATAATTCAGCTCCCTTGTTTTCTGAATCGCAAGAAAGCATATCTCATAATCAACCAACAGTAGAAGAAACTTCAGACTTCTTTTCTCAGATAAATGATGAATCCACAGAAGATTGTGAAGAAGAAATTTTAAGCCAAACATTAATTCAAGCATTATACCATGTTGAAAAATTGGTGTCTGATGCTATATTTAATAAGCTTTCTAAACGTTTCAATGAAAATATTAGAACCAAACAATTGATACAACTAACATCATTTTTGGATCTTCGCTATAAATCTTGTTTAACTAGTTATGAGTTTTATATGGTTAAGCAACGACTCGTCGCAGAAATGGAACTTAATGGTATGAAATCTGTCGACCCATGTTCATCACCACCATTGAAAAAAAAAAGTTATTCAGGTAAGGTTGACAGTTTCTTTATGTAGTAAAAATTAATAATTACTTCTTTATCTTTCATAGGTATAGCTTCATTTTTAAGCACAAATTTACCCTCAAATTCTGCTTCAAATTGTGAGAATATTTTTGAAGCTGARATTGAAAAATTCAACCAAATGCCCAAGGTAGATTTGGATACCGATCCTCTTAACTGGTGGAAAATATTCAATTTAGAGTTTCCCAATTTATCTCGGTTAGCAAAAAAGTTCAAGGTTCAAAGTTCAAAGTTTCAAAGTTCATTCAAGGTACTAGTGTACCAAGTGAAAGGTTGTTTAGCCACGCAGGAAATGTTCTTACAAACAAACGGTCCTTGCTGTCTGAAGCCCATGCTGAACAGTTAATATTTTTATCGAAAAATTCCCATTTTTTGGTAAATTGATTATACATATTATGTATTTAATTTAATAAAATTTAATCAATCTAATTACAATTTTATTAATTTTTATTTAACTGTTTGTAGAAAGTTATACAAAATAGAATAAAGGATATTAATATATATATTTTTTTAATTTTTAAATAAATAAAAAATTTTTTAATAAAAAAAGATCTAATATAAACAAATTACAAATTTTGAGTTTAGACTGTTTTTATTGTTTACAATTTATGAATTACTTTTTAGTTTTAATCCTTATTTACTATTGTCTTTAATATGTTTCTGGTAAACACATAAAATTATATGCAAACTACTTTGTGGGTTGTAGTCTTGTACTCTTTTAAACCAATATAGGTGTTTTATTTCATATTTATAATGATCCTGGAGCTTAAGAAGAAATCAAAATGAAAAAATTACACTAAAAATGAGAGTGGGGCTCCATACTCCTTAACTCCACTGGCTCATCTTAAATTATGTTGTCTGGTTATAATATAAATCATAGCAGACACAATTGGACTCATAATAATTAATATATAAATATTTCATATTTATAAAAATATATTATTAATTAATAATTATTAAGTTGATTTATATTTTATTTTTAAAATGATAAAAAAAAATAAATAATGCATTAGTTGTATAATATTATAAAGTTATTTTGTATAATTTTATCACAAAAAAATGAAGTAAAAAAATAATTGCAGTACAAGTGGTTTGTACCGAGCGATCGGTTAGGTTATTGGTATATATAACGGTAATACCGTTTATGCGGTATTAATTGATACATACTGACATACCGGTACACCGTTAAATACCGGTATGTAAACACATACCGAATACCAGTGGGCAAATTCCACATACCGCCAACCCTAGTTGAAATAATTATAATAATAATAAAGTAATCCAAAGCTAAGTGAATTATTAATACTTAAAACATAATTAGAATATTGATCAAAGGTGGGCAAGTTAATGAAAATAATTAACTCAAGTTAAGTTAAGTTAAGAGGACACAAGATCGATAAGTTAAAAGTTAACAGTTAACAMATTATAAATTTAACTCGATAAGTTAAAAGTTAATATGGAAAAAAAAATTAACTTAACTCAGTTTAAAAAAAGTTAAT